GAGCACAGCTTTAAGGAAGGCTTGGAGAAAAGTGTGGGCAGCGGTGATGTTTGCAGAGGGATCTTCTGATGAAGAAGAATTTGAAGGTTCAATGTGAGACATAAAAAAGAATCATTAAAAGAGATTCTTGATGTCCTTCAAAATGCTGTCCCCACTAACCCACTCAGTAAACTCAAAAATACTGAACTTGAAGAGTGGGTGAACAATGATCAAGAGCTTGATGTTGCACTAACCTTTACTGATGCTGAAATTATAGAAAAGGTTGTGCATCCTGACAGATCTAATGCACCTGAACAAGACTCAGAACAAGACCACAGTGAAGAAACTAAAGTGGCTTGGGCTACTGCTGTACAATGTCTGGAAACATTCTTGAAATGTGCTGAGCAGCAGTCCTTTTATTCTGCTCAGAAAGTGATGCAGCTTCATGTTGTTCACAACAATTTCCTGGAAAAAAGGAAACTGATTTGCAGGCAGGCAGACATCTGCAGCTTGCTTCAAAGAGCTTCTGCAGCTTGTGTCAAGGATCAGATACTGATGTTGATGATCCTCAAGAAGAGGCACACTCTGAAGCAGAGCCACGTTCTGGTATATTAGACATTATTATATCACAGTTAAAATGAAGGCTTAGTTTCTTTCTTGAAAAAAACCTCTCAGATAACCAGTCTATCTGATTAACCAGCACCCCCAGTTCCCCATGGATGCCAGTTAACACAGCTTTTACTGTAGTTGTGTGTGTGTGTGTGTGTGTGTGTGTGTGTGTATACAGTGTCCCAGATAAGCATTTCTTCTCACACCTTAAAATGCATTTAAAGCCCGCACCCCCATTACAATAGTTGCACCCAGGCACCCATCTGCAGTCCTTTCCCTAACACAGTCTCTTAGTTGTCACCCCAATGTTGGGGTTTACAGTCTCAGCTTATTCACTGCCCTTGTTGCTGTCACTGTTGCTTCTGCTGCTGCTGACACCGCTGCTGTCATCATCGCTGTCTCGAGGTCCGATTGTGTCGCTGTCGTCTTCGTTATCCCCGACCACTCCCCCTCGCAGAGTGCCTTTGACCAGCCTTTGCCAAGCGTCCCTTTGGCAGGTAGAATTGGCTGCATCTTCTCCATCCTCTCCCACCGATTTCCCGTAGTAGGACTGGAGTTCACTCAGAGCTGGGTGCAGGATGGCTTCTTGATCTTCCCTGGCCTGCACACCCTGCTGGCAGTTTTGTTTTGCTTTGTATACTGTTTTAATTGTATGGCTTCAAAGCATTTCTTCCTGATAGTTGATTAATCAAAGTCCAAACAAAGCAGGCAAGGGCAAAATTAACATATTACAATTGTGTCCTGGTGTTTGGGTGCTTGGTTTGCTTTTGCAAGTTTTGGATCAGTCTGGAATCAAATGGGATGGGTATTAATTGAATGAGATACCTTTAGGGAGTTAATCCCAGAAATGGAGATGGTGAAGATCAGAGGCCATTGGATACAATAGGTGCAAGTTTCAGGAGAGTACACTGCTTTGGCATAATAAACATTTAAACTTTAGATAGATAGTGGATGTTTGCTTTTGGAAATATGCCTTAAACAAAGCGGGGAATGTGATAAACTGGATATATTTACAGTCACATTTTCAATGCACTTTGACTTCTCCTCTCTTACTTTGCTTTTCTTTGCTTTGAAGTGAATATTTTCATTCTTTTGTTTCCTTTAGGGACACATCACTCAATTGAAAGGTATATGCAGTTTGTAGTTTACTCTAGAGGTCATGTGGTTTTCTAGCTTGCTCTCTGAGTCTTGTTATATACATGTAATGAGTGTGTCAGATATCTGCCAATACTTTTAACCATCAGTTTTATTTTTTAGGCTCAGGCATGGTAGAAGGTTGAGGACTGTTATCATTACTGTTATCATCCTGGGGCACATGGGTCTGGTACTGGGTACCGCAAGCTCCACTTTCTCTATGCCTAATGGGTTGCAGCCATTAGCAGAGTTTGATTTTCTTTGTGGCAGACTTGTCACCACAACCCAATCTTGCCCCAGCCACTGTCCTGCATTTTTTTTTACAAGAGGCAAACATTTGTTATTTTAATGTGGTATTTCATGTCCAAGCTTTCACAGTCATTGTGTTCAAATTTCATGTCGTGGAAGAAAAGAAAAAATAGTCCCCCTTATTTTTTCTCTGTGGTCTGTCTTTCACCTAATAGTGGAATGGCCATAGTTCAATCCAAAGTATTACTTCTCAGTAGAGTTCATTAATGTTTTTCACCTATATATATCACGAGAAAAGATTCTAATCCTTTGCTGTCTTTTTCTTCTAGGCCCTTCAACAGACCATTAAGCAAGATGCCATCCCTGGGCACTTTAGCTTTCTGCTTCCAATTTCTAATGGTTGCTGCATCTTCCCAACCTTCACTTGATCTGAACCTTGACTCAGCTGTCCATGCCTCAGTGAGTAGCCTTTCCCCATCTGTTGGTTTTTGGTTTGCTTGTAAGAGTAATAATACCTTGCTTCTGTACAGCACTTCTCAAGTGGGTATAGAGACCTCAGAGGAGGCCAGTATCATGACTGAGAGTCTACTCAATTCATGATTCCACAGAAACCATGAAATCAGGGATTGTCCACAAAATCAACTTGAAAAAAAATGTAATAAAAATAAAGGCCTTCAACACTGTCTCTCACCCCATTCTCATTTAAAAATTAGGCAACTGTGGTGTCGACACCTACACAGTCAGATGGGTCACAAATTGGCTGGAGGGCCACACCCAGAGAGTGGTGGTGGATGGGTCATTTTCGACCTGGAGGGATGTGGGCGGTGGGATTCCCCAGGGCTCGGTCCTCAGGCCTGCACTGTTCAATATCTTCATCAGTGACTTGGATGAGGGGGTAAAAAGCACCCTGTTCAAATTCGCGGATGACACTAAGATGTGGGGAGAAGTGGGCACGCTGGAGGAGAGGGACAGGCTGCAACTAGATCTAGACAGGTTACAGGGGTGGGCACATGAGAACAGGATGGGTTTCAACACTGAGAAGTGCAAGGTTCTGCACCTGGGGAGGAACAACCAGCACCATACCTACAGGCTGGGGAACTCCCTTCTCATCAGTCCAGAGGCAGAAAAGGATCTTGGAGTCATCATTGATGCCAAGATGAACATGGGCCGGCAGTATGGGGATGCAATCAGGAAGGCCAACCACACTTTGTCATGCATCCACAGATGCATCTCGAGCAGGTCCAAGGAGGTGATCCTCTCCCTCTGT